GAAGACAGGCGGGTTGTGAAACCCTTACATTGGCTAGCTTATGGATGAGAATGTCAGGTGTGTATGTGACGAGGAGTTGACTAAGGATTTATTTGAGCGTCAGACTGATACTCGTCCTGAACAAGCCTGACACAATATCCAGTCTCGTGTAGAAACACTGTTGAGGATACTTGATAGCTTTGAGTGAAACGTCATTAAAGATCAGAGGATGCAGGTGGCTGATCATTCGACTTTATAAGAAAGGCAACTAATCTTTTTGTGATGTGAGCACAGGCGGCAGATCAACTTGACTGATTTAGTATTTAAGCTTCTGTCGTCCATAGTCATATGAAGACTAAGTGTAGCTCGGTGGAAACAACCCAAGAGTAACAGTCAGGTTTCAGGCCTAGACGAGAGTGCATTGATTGACCGAATCTGCATCCAGCCTTCGACAGCCTCTGGAACACAGACAGACTTACAGGCGACCGATACTTGGAATACTCGTCAACCTGAGGGCCAATCGAAGAGTGTTGTGATAATGTCGTATCACAAAGACCATATGGTCTTTCTAGATGAAAGACGCTGACGAAATTCATAGTCTTGTGAATGCATTGAATGTTAGTCTGAGTGTGTTCAGCACACACTTCACTCCTATGGAATGTGTAAGACAGTGCTACAGAACTGGTCCTCATTGACTGCTGGTTTAATGATTGCGAGTGGAGTGGAGTGGAATGGTTGTATGCGTTGACCACTTAACTTATTTAAGAAGTTGCATCAGGCCTAATGGACTATGGGCTCACAAAATCTCAGCACGCACGCACACACACAGAAGGCTCGTTAGACATTTGACAATATGGTGTCGTCTTCAGTGACGGTGAGATATCTGACTAGCCGTCAACGAGCGTTTGTACTGCACACTGCAGAGCTGTTCACTCTATCCTAGCCTACAGTTGTGTGACATGACCGATGAAAGTAGGAGATCACATGTCTTCGACTGCACTTGTCTTCCCTAAATCGCTCACATTGGGTGGAGCCACATAACAAGTAATGTTGAAGTTGAACGTGCACAGTTGGAAAATGTAATGTAGGCAATTGAGTCGATGAGGTTGTCAAGCTTCATCGATTGAGGTGGCTAGAACGAGTAGTGTTGCGCATGCAGTGCCACCGTCTTCCTCGACGAGTAATGTTGACTGGAGTAGGATTAGATTGGAAGAGAGTTGAGAGTGGTGAGAGGGAAACATGACATCAGTCTATGAAGTCATTGATTGTTGGTCTGAGCTGTGTATAGTGAGGTGTAGTCTGCCTGGTTATCGTGTTCAGGATACTAAGAATCGATGGTTGTCTACTCTTGATGACTTGTCTCCAGATCGCTGACTATGGCTCACAGCTACTCACTCATTATTGTCGAAATTCTCGACATCTTCACTACCTCCTGATTAAACTATTCGTTCTTCCACACACATCTTTGCCCACTGTAGTGTCATAAGATTTCTCTTCTCTCACTGAACGTGTGCTTTCTCGAGGTGCTCCAAGCTGAACTGACACACGTGTGTGCAAAGTTCCACGTTAATTCGTCAACGAGTGAGTAGGTGAGATGGCAAGTGATTGAGTCAACCAGTCACTGGGAGGATGCGTCAGTTCTTGGATGTGGGTGGCTGCCACTGAATGAATGTAGAAGACAGGCGGGTTGTGAAACCCTTACATTGGCTAGCTTATGGATGAGAATGTCAGGTGTGTATGTGACGAGGAGTTGACTAAGGATTTATTTGAGCGTCAGACTGATACTCGTCCTGAACAAGCCTGACACAATATCCAGTCTCGTGTAGAAACACTGTTGAGGATACTTGATAGCTTTGAGTGAAACGTCATTAAAGATCAGAGGATGCAGGTGGCTGATCATTCGACTTTATAAGAAAGGCAACTAATCTTTTTGTGATGTGAGCACAGGCGGCAGATCAACTTGACTGATTTAGTATTTAAGCTTCTGTCGTCCATAGTCATATGAAGACTAAGTGTAGCTCGGTGGAAACAACCCAAGAGTAACAGTCAGGTTTCAGGCCTAGACGAGAGTGCATTGATTGACCGAATCTGCATCCAGCCTTCGACAGCCTCTGGAACACAGACAGACTTACAGGCGACCGATACTTGGAATACTCGTCAACCTGAGGGCCAATCGAAGAGTGTTGTGATAATGTCGTATCACAAAGACCATATGGTCTTTCTAGATGAAAGACGCTGACGAAATTCATAGTCTTGTGAATGCATTGAATGTTAGTCTGAGTGTGTTCAGCACACACTTCACTCCTATGGAATGTGTAAGACAGTGCTACAGGACTGGTCCTCATTGACTCCTGGTTTAATGATTGCGAGTGGAGTGGAGTGGAATGGTTGTATGCGTTGACCACTTAACTTATTTAAGAAGTTGCATCAGGCCTAATGGACTATGGGCTCACAAAATCTCAGCACGCACGCACACACACAGAAGGCTCGTTAGACATTTGACAATATGGTGTCGTCTTCAGTGACGGTGAGATATCTGACTAGCCGTCAACGAGCGTTTGTACTGCACACTGCAGAGCTGTTCACTCTATCCTAGCCTACAGTTGTGTGACATGACCGATGAAAGTAGGAGATCACATGTCTTCGACTGCACTTGTCTTCCCTAAATCGCTCACATTGGGTGGAGCCACATAACAAGTAATGTTGAAGTTGAACGTGCACAGTTGGAAAATGTAATGTAGGCAATTGAGTCGATGAGGTTGTCAAGCTTCATCGATTGAGGTGGCTAGAACGAGTAGTGTTGCGCATGCAGTGCCACCGTCTTCCTCGACGAGTAATGTTGACTGGAGTAGGATTAGATTGGAAGAGAGTTGAGAGTGGTGAGAGGGAAACATGACATCAGTCTATGAAGTCATTGATTGTTGGTCTGAGCTGTGTATAGTGAGGTGTAGTCTGCCTGGTTATCGTGTTCAGGATACTAAGAATCGATGGTTGTCTACTCTTGATGACTTGTCTCCAGATCGCTGACTATGGCTCACAGCTACTCACTCATTATTGTCGAAATTCTCGACATCTTCACTACCTCCTGATTAAACTATTCGTTCTTCCACACACATCTTTGCCCACTGTAGTGTCATAAGATTTCTCTTCTCTCACTGAACGTGTGCTTTCTCGAGGTGCTCCAAGCTGAACTGACACACGTGTGTGCAAAGTTCCACGTTAATTCGTCAACGAGTGAGTAGGTGAGATGGCAAGTGATTGAGTCAACCAGTCACTGGGAGGATGCGTCAGTTCTTGGATGTGGGTGGCTGCCACTGAATGAATGTAGAAGACAGGCGGGTTGTGAAACCCTTACATTGGCTAGCTTATGGATGAGAATGTCAGGTGTGTATGTGACGAGGAGTTGACTAAGGATTTATTTGAGCGTCAGACTGATACTCGTCCTGAACAAGCCTGACACAATATCCAGTCTCGTGTAGAAACACTGTTGAGGATACTTGATAGCTTTGAGTGAAACGTCATTAAAGATCAGAGGATGCAGGTGGCTGATCATTCGACTTTATAAGAAAGGCAACTAATCTTTTTGTGATGTGAGCACAGGCGGCAGATCAACTTGACTGATTTAGTATTTAAGCTTCTGTCGTCCATAGTCATATGAAGACTAAGTGTAGCTCGGTGGAAACAACCCAAGAGTAACAGTCAGGTTTCAGGCCTAGACGAGAGTGCATTGATTGACCGAATCTGCATCCAGCCTTCGACAGCCTCTGGAACACAGACAGACTTACAGGCGACCGATACTTGGAATACTCGTCAACCTGAGGGCCAATCGAAGAGTGTTGTGATAATGTCGTATCACAAAGACCATATGGTCTTTCTAGATGAAAGACGCTGACGAAATTCATAGTCTTGTGAATGCATTGAATGTTAGTCTGAGTGTGTTCAGCACACACTTCACTCCTATGGAATGTGTAAGACAGTGCTACAGAACTGGTCTTCACTTACTCCTCGTTCAATTTCTATTTGTGTGTTTTCATAATTTTGTGCGTGTATCTGTCTTCTTATTTCTCTTTTTCTTGTTTTTTTTATCATTTTTTTTAGGGGCATCTCTCTTCCTTACCATCTTTCGTTGTTTTATTCTGCCTTTCCTTTCCTATTTAATGCTTGTTTTTTTGACTGTCTCGATGCTCGTTTGGATTACTTTGCGTACAAATTGTGCGTAATTTTATTTGTTTCCTTTTATAAATCAGGTGAAACTGACTTGTATTTTCAGGATGTGTGAATTATTCGACTGTATTTACCCTGGTATCCCTGTCGTTGATATATATGTCTATATGTATTGAATTATATTCCGGTGTGATCTCCATATTGAGTCTGTCCTGCTTTATGGATCATAGGCGTGGCGCTTAACATAGGGCATTTCAAACCAGCTTCACACTTTCATCAAGAGCTACCTTCGCTCAGTACTCAAGATCAGATGTCCAGATAATGTCAGGAACATGAATCTCTGGTTGCTAAGCAACCAGGAACCGATTGTCCACCGAATATGTAGGAATAAATGGATGTGGATTGGACATTCTCTGCGAAAACATTCAAGTGACATCACTCGACTGGCTGTCGAGTGGAACCGGAACGGGAAGCGGCGAGTTGGTCGTCAGTGCTAGGTTGACATGGAGGTGGTCATGTGAAGAGGAGATGAAAGCATGTGGGCTGACGTGGAGCCGGGTGAAACCGTTGGTAGAGTAGCGAACGCAATGTAGACGTGCGGCTTAAGCCCTATATTTCTCTAGCGACTAAACGAAACAATAGTAATAATAGGTTGTGAGCACCAGAGGCACAATAAAACTCATCAATATTATTCCACATCAAGTCGAATTTGTGTAGAAATGTTTTTCTCCAGAGTTGCATGGTAGTGTAAATTCTTTTAAATATTCTGATATATTTCTTTTCAATTATGCTCAGGATCTTGAACTGAATGTCTGATTGGTTTCATAATTATACTACCATTTTATGTTTATTTATAGGAACACAACCGTAATGATCATTTGTTTAGTTTGGCTCAACTTGGTAGACCCGATGATATGTTGGAATCCGCAAAACATTTAGAGAAATACCCTAATTATGCTGGTAAAGCAGTTTTGCTCTATCATAAAGCCGGTAAAATTAATCGAGCTGTTGAACTGGCATTCAGCACACGCCAATTTTCTGCCTTGCAAAGTGTAGCTGGTTCTCTGGATGAAAGAATTGATCCAACAATTTTAAAACAATGTTCAGAATTCTTTATTCAGAATAATCAATTTGATCGGGCTGTAGAAGTACTTGCGGCGGGGAAACAAGTAATTTTTTATCATATTTTATTGTAAATTACTTATAGTTGACATTGCTATTTTACAATTTCATAATGTTTCCACTGGACTTATTTTACTGGCTGCTGACGAGATTGCAGCATGCAAAAATAGGGCTGGTTAAATATTTCACGACTAGCGTCAGCTTTGGTGTCGGTGAAATATTGGGTTAACCACCGACGTGTATCTGTTTTTTTTTCCTTCACGTTCCCAGTGGAACATAGGGCTTCAATCTAGTGGCTTGAAGTTTCTGTAGCAGTGTTTATTTTACAGGATGGGGTTGCTAGCCTCATGCCCAACCTTTCCTCTTTACCAGCATTATTTATGGCTTAACGGGGCTAAGCAGTGCGTCGGCCGATGATCGAACCCCGGATCATGTGCATGGTCGGCGAGCGTCCTAACCGCTATGCCACCGACGCAGTGTATCTGTACTGCACAGTTATTCACTCTATCCTTTTTGACATTTTTTGAATTTCAAAAAGATTACGTCGCAGAGATTAATATTTATTTTATTATTTGAAATATGAACGGCTGACGAGAAATTTGCTAATTTGCGTAATTTATGCCAATCTTGAGGGTTTCATGATCTCTCTATGCACAAGCATAATCACCAAACAATATACACTACTTGCTAAAAGGATTAATTCATTGGTGTCACGTTATCGTCTGACCACTAATCTGTTCATATCTTCTACCTGTACCGACCGTGCCTCACAGCTGTAAAGTAGAATGGAGCCTATTGCTGCAAAGTACATACATACTTTGATGAATGGCCAGAACACAGATAATATCAGAAACAGAAAGACATTTAGATGCATTCATCGTCAAACAAATCTTCAGCGGAGACTAACAGAGGAGCAAATTATTGACAAAAAATCACATGTGAATTCGTCTTGCCAATGTTTAATAAACAGAACACAAAGTATGTAAAACTTCGGTCAAAAATTATCAGCTAATAATAGACCTCACTAAGCCAGAAATAAAAGCTGATGAAGAGGAAAGGTCGGCCATGAGGCTAGCAATCCCATCCTGTAAAAATAAACACTGCTACAGAAACTTTAAACCACTAGCTTGAAGCCCTATGTTCCACTGGGAACGTGAAGGAATAAAAAAATAGACAATAAAAAAATAAATTTATCCAACCTGAATAAAGTAAAACCAACAACTTGAGCAAAAATATAGATGTCACGTCATTTCATTGATTTCTTGTCATTAGCATGCGCAGAAAATTTGAGGAAAACTGAATGGTTTTGTTTACTCGTTTTTGTAAAAGATTTAAAAGCGTCTGTTTAATGTCTCGTATCACCATGATGGCGCGCAACTGCTTCATTTTAAGGATGATAATACTGCAGGAGTTGTCGACAGAATGTTGAATACTTCACTCTCCAAAACCAGTCTTGCAGCCACAATAATTCTCATGTTTTCCCATGTTATTGTTCCCTTTCACGTATATTTCCGCTCATTATAGCTCATCTGAATTTCTGTTTTTCTCTTCTGTCTACTGTTGCGTGCCATATGGACGGTGGCAGCTTGAGCTGAGGAATTTCTGTGCAAAGTTTTATGCTGGAAATCTGTTAGGGTCGATAAGTACCTGTCTTATGTTAACTCTAATTGTGTTTACATTTGTACGTATTGGCAGTTACATTCGGAATATACAAAAATGTCTGTGTCATAAACGGACAAATGTTTTCAATTGCGACATGAATTAGACACCTTGAAATCTTTCTAGATGGTCAATAAATAAAACAACTGAATTCTACTCTAATTTTCTGAAGGCATATCTTTCGAATGCATGAAACCGCGTTTGTGTTCAGAAAGAAGCAATTATCCGTTTTTATTTGTCCTGCAAACTCATTCACTTGATCCCTTCTCCTATTAGATCACACAGTCTTTCGGTCCACTTTTTCCCTTTTGCTTTATCAGAAAAAACTGCTTTTCACTATTCTGTTTCTATGACCTGACTTGAGCACCGAATTATTACGCAGCTTACTAGTTACTTAACACCATATTATCCGTTTCCAGTCTTTTTCATATAACGCATTTTTCAAAGTATCTAAACCTATTGGATAATTAGCTTGAATTATCTGTGTGTACGGCACATAACTGTAACTCTAAACCCCATTATTAATCACTCTATGTATATGCGGCTGATGAGGAACCAACGAAATAAAGTGGTATCACTTTTCTCTGCTCCGACTGTTGTTTCCGCCTTATCCAAATGCATCCACATTCAAAATATAATTGCTGACAATATAAACATTTTCAAGTATTGGTTTTGTAGGGATTTTGTTTGATGATGATGAAATCCTGCATCCAATATAAACATTGTCGCAGGAACAATGATTGATATCGAGCCAATACACTAAGCTTCTAAGCCACCTAGCATTAATCAAAAGCTTATCAGTAAATTATTTACTTCAAACTATCATTGCTGAAATCACCCACTTGAGGTAAAATTGCATTTTACTAACATCAATCCCAATTTGTTGAACGCATTCAAGTATCACTCTGAAACATTAGTCAGCTGAAAAAAGTTCATCACTGTTTATTTTTCAAATTTTTAATTTATATTAAGGGCATAGGTAAGTCGAACATCTATTCAATTACTGAATATGACTCCTGAGGGGCTTGTTGTTCTTATTTATTACCAGTAAAGTTTTGAAATACTTCTTGTTATGAAGAAACAGCGACTGAAAAGCCATTGAAAAATAGGATGACTTGAACAAGTCAGGCTTGTCCAGGGATACACATTCACAACCCGGTGACACTATTTATCCATTTGATAATTATGGAAACTACTTTTAGACTTTCTATATCCCTAAGATTCCTACAACTTAATGCTGAAAATCACAGCAATAATTCAGAATTAAAGTGCTTGTTAAACAGTTCATGTGTTCAAGGTTTGACCTCTGAGAATGTTAGTAAAGTGAATACAGAGTGTACTGACGTAATCTCCTAAGATTTGAGTTTATGTAACTATAAACTCTGACTATTAATTATTTTTACTCATAATTTGTAAATCATGTTTTTATTGCATTTGATTTTATTTTATACAGTACTGTGATGCACTTAGATTATGCGCGGATCATAATGTCTCTATCTCAGATGAATTGGCTGAAAAGCTGACACCGACTTCAGATAAACTAACAGAAAAAGAAAAGTGTAGCCTATTAGTTGAATTAGGTGAATTATGCATGCAACAAGGAAAGTATCATTTAGCTTGTAAAAAATTCACTCAAGCTGGTAGTCGTATATCAGCAATGAAAGCATTACTACGTTCAGGTGATACGGAGAAGATTATATTCTTTGCAAATGTTAGTAAACAAAAAGAAATTTATATTATGGCAGCAAACTATTTACAAACAGTGAATGATTGGCGGTCGAATATGAATATTATAAAAAATATTATACAATTTTATTCACGTGGACATGCTTTGGAATCATTGGCATCGTTTTATGAAGCCTGTGCTCATGTAAGTTGAACTCATCAATATGTCTTATTTTGTATCTCTTTTAGTTTGATGTGAAATATCAAATAAATTCATTTTTTATGTAGTATAATAAACTGTGTGCCGGTGGCACAGCGGTATAATGGTCGCCAACCACGCTTGTGGTCCGGGGTTCGATCCCCGGCCGACGCACCCCTTTACCTTGCTAAGCCAGTATTAAGACTGGTAAAGAGGAAAGATTGGGCATGAGGCTAGCAACCTCATCTCGTAAAAATCAACACCACTGCTACAGAAAATTCAAGCCCCTAGCTTGAAGCCCTATGTTCCACTGGGAACATAAAGGAATAAAAAATATAATAATGAACTAGTTGAAATGGATTCGAAATGTGGCTGGTGAAATCTAGGGTAAAAGTTCAATTTATTGTATCGAAAGCATAGGGAAAACAATTTCTCCAACGGTGTGACATAACAATTGACGTCATTCATTGGTGTTAAGTCAATAAGTTTTCGACCTGAACATTTTAGCTTCCTGAATACTTAATGGTGGAATATCCCAATGCAGTTTCATCTTCATGTATCGATTTCACTACACGCTAGAGATCCTGAAAAGTCTTCTTGGCGCCTGGTTTATAGCATTGCTTCAAATGAATGTCAGCTAGTAATTGAGTTATACACAATTACGACAAATGAGACAGAATGGATATCTCTCGAACATCACCTTCATATGTGTAACATTATCACAATAACAGAGTTATTGAGGGATTGTTATTTCATAGTCTCTGTCTGCATTCAGTACTTACCTTTCCATAGAATTAAAGTGTTGAATTTGGTGAGCAACAGATTCCAGAATGAATGATTCCTTTTGTTTAGGACTTGTCAGGCAGATATAACTGTACTTTAGTTATTTTTCATTCAGTATTCTAGGCGTTACCGTTGGTTATTACTATAAAAAAGTGTCAAGATCAAATTCAAAGAAGTATCTTCGACAAGCTCCTGGGCACAAAGGGATCGAAACATTCTGTGTAATAAACGTAACTAGGCTGACCAGATGTCAACCAAACTCTACCCAGACGACCTGCACTCTACTGCAAAGAACAAATCAACGCCCGCATAGGCTGATATCACGCCATAGCCTGGTCACTCTTCGCCTTTTGCCGATTCAAATCTAATTCCGAGAGCATAGAACTTTAATAAATATGTATAGCTCAAGTTGCCACTACTTGCGGCGTTGGCTTATATGCTTAACCTAAAAATCAATATGTAACTTTTGCGTTAATCACAATTTGTTCTACCAAATGTAAGGACTAAAACAGTAGTCAAATACACAAATTTTAATAACGCATTCGTACAGCCTACGTCATATAAGATGAATATTTTCTTTTTCACTTTATGATCTTATGCGGGAGATCCTCGCACATTTTGTCATACTTGTCATTTGATGGAATGAGCTAAAGGGTGTCTAGAAGTTGCAAGCAGCTCGCAGAAACCCAGTATTCTATAAGAGTGCATGTGGTTTTACTCACCACTTTCCTAACGTCTTACAGTCAGTATTCAACGAGGTTATTTAAGGGGTCACTAGCTAACATTGACTCTAGGTTGGTTCCGTATTTCGCAGAGGTAGCAGTTACTACAGTTTACACATGTCAACCTGTTAATGACAACTTTTAAGATCACTCCAAACCTAGCAAACACAAAAGTATGATAGAAATCCATAAATATGTTTCACTAAGGAGAAGCAGTCCTGTGTGCACCTACACCATCGGAAACTGATAGCAATGTGATAAATCTGAGTCAAGGCTTGAGTGGCAGAGAGCGGACGCTAGGCAACGCTAGGGCGATGAGTATGCCGGAAGTTGATGATGGCTAGAAACAGGTTGTGATCTGCACGAAGCTGTAGAAGCTGGTCTCCATTATTTGACCTGCGACCACATAGACTCCACTGACAATCTAGACGACTCTCCTCTGAGCCTAGACGCCCGACCCGTACATTATAGCCCCCAGCTATGCCTGCGGTATCCGTTTGAACTACCTGCTTCGCCAACCCAGTAAGCTGATAGCAAAACTCATCGTTAATTGCATCCCAGCTGAAATCCGTTGGTGCGTAAGCCATGTGTATGTATTAGAAAGGAAACTGTTAATAACTTATTACCACGTTGCTGAACTCTAACTCCACTTAACTTCTCCAAAGAAATTCGATTTCATTTTCACCCATCTGCATCCGTATTTTCAGGATAACCCCCGCTCGATTATACAACCGCTTCTACTTATGCTTGGATTCATTTTTGAATAGTTCCTTCCATACAATATAAGAATGTCTCTATTTTGATTAAAATTCCATTATTATAATTCCCTGTAAAAGGTAGAAGTCAGCTTCATTTTTGACGTTTTATTCTACCTTCGTATAATGAATTAGTTATTCATGTAAAGTATGGCAAAAATTATGTCATGCTGATTGCTTATGTATTTTATCATTCAGGTTGTATGCAACTGATGAAAACTCCATGAAATAAAAAGCATTCATCTTAGCTTGCACAGGGTATATTCAATGTATTGTCATTACTCAAGTGAATCAATGGAACCAGTTGATATGTAGAATTTCGCTTTGTTATTCTTTTTCCTTTAAGGGTGAAATTGAAGATGGTGGAAATTATGAAAAAGCAACTGGTGCATTAAGTGAGGCTTATAAAGTTTTAATTAAAGCGTTGAATTCGGATAAAACTAATGAATCATCTGAATGTCGTCTTAAAAAACGTCTAGCACTAATTAAAGATAAAGCAACATTGTGCAAGGAATTCGTTGAAACACAAGAGTAAGCTGATTAATACATGCCATTGATTTCATATTTATTAAGTATAACTAAATTTTATAAAGTATTAACTTGAATCTTGAAAAATTATTGGCGTGTAACAGTGTAAAATTACTTTAAATGAAATCGTTAAATTCCGATTGAAACACTACTATTAACAATTTAAACTGATCAGAATCTATACTGAAGTATTTGCTTAGCTTTAAAATGGATTTATGTTCTTATCAGATGCCAAAAACAGTCGCTCATTGACAAGATTGAATAGAGGTGACTGTTTGAAAGAAAGTGTATATTCTCAAAACCTAACATTTTGGGGTTTGATCCTATTTAAGTTCTTCACCGGCCGCTTTCAGACTGAGAAAACTAATGTCCAATGTTTCTTTATTTTTGAACTATACTGGATTATCATCTTAGAACGTTGTATGAAAGTGTAGCAGATCAATTCGCCTCACTGCATGTAAGCACACGGAGGTAGAGAAAAGTGTAATGGAACTGCAATAAACGTAGATATGTGGGGGAGGGAATAACTATACGAAAAACAAATAGTTTTTAATGAATCTTGAATATCACAAGAAACAAATATATCACTAACAATTGTTTTTACTTTTGATGATAACTGTCCATAAGCTCTATCATGGCTTCATGGGTTCGAGTACACAACCTTGATTAATGCAATATACTCTTTCTCAGCGGTCCCTTTACATCCAAACATTGCTACAAAGTCCGTCGAAGGGTGGAATTATGATCAATACACCCTTGGCTGAGCCGAAAAGCTATCTGATTTATCCGGATTGATCTTTCCTGAGTACCGCTCAGTACTCTCAGGACAATGAATCCTAGAATCCTTATTTTTGTCGCCTCTCCTTCGATGACTGATCTGTTATTAAAGCTAGTTTGAATGATATTTTATTCTTTTGTGAAACTCATAAATTGTTGATCACTTAAATATAATGTATGCAAACTCTGTACATTAATTTTTGTCAAACTTCCCTGTTTATTCTTTGGAATTTTGACCGATTCCGCTCATTTAAAATTAGCTTTCTTAGCATGCTTCTTTGATATACTTTACAAGGGAATAATTCCATTTTGAAATGAGGACAACACCAGAAAAATGACAGATACATGTCCGTCTATCTGGTTTGAACATAGAACTTTGCACCCATGTGCAGCAGTTCGAGCACACAAAGCCAAAGCAAAATAGAAACAGTAAACAGAGATATGAGGCAAAAAGAATAATAATATCAAAGAACAATATAGCTTTACTGGAAATCATCAGTCAAGAGGAGTGGATGCATCTGCGCCAACCATTGAACCATATCACCGATTGGCTCCAGACAATGGTGTTTACCTTCCCGACGACCCGAACCTGGAAGTCTACACCTTCCTCCGTGGCTGGCTTAAACTTACTGTTGTGGATTTCATTGATTGATGAGGCCAAGTTTTGCTTTGGCCAACCTGGTCCTATGTCACCTAACATCGCGTGTCGAGGAAGGCGATGACTAGACATGCATGCGTAACACATGTCCTAACCATCTCAGTCGATGTAACTTCACAGCCTCGTCTATTGATTTCCCCTCCTTACCTAGCACTCGACGCCTAACCTCAATATTGCTCACCCTATTATACCATTTCACACGGGAGATAGAACGCAGACACCTATGATCAAAGGCAGCTAGCCAGGCTTTTCATGTCTTCCACTCTCAATGACAACGTCTCACAGTCATAAAGGAGAACGGAGCGAGCTGCTGAGCGGTACACACACCCTTTGGTCGACAGCCAGAGGAATATCACGTCTACGCCAGAGACGGCGTAAACTGGCATATGCGAAAATAGCCCTCTGTATCCGTGGTGAGATTTCGTCGACGATCAACCCGTTGGGGCTGATGCAACTTCCGAAATAAGTGAAGTGGTCAAGTGGCTCAGCCACCACTTCACTACCTATTTCTAAGCTAGGAGCAGTCAACGTAGTCCAGTCCTTTAGCATCATCTTACATTTAACAGCAGGAGCGAATCGCATGGCAAACATTCGAAGATTGCTGCTCAACGTGTTCAGAAGACTCTGCATTTAGTCAGCGTCCTCACCTAGAAGGACTATGTCATCTGCATATTCTAAGTCAACGAGATTATTCCCTGACGGTAACAAGTCCATCCCTGAGTCGCTGAAGTTGTCAGTTAGGGTTAATTCCATTAGTACATCTATGATGAAATTGAGTAGAAATGGGGATATCGGGCATCCCTTTTACAGCCAAACATCGCCAAAGGAGTACCTCTCGGTTGACAGAATTGAATGCCGCCTTTAGGTCAAGAAATATAACGATTGTTGGACGCCGGTAAGTATGCTTATGTTCCAGAATCTGTCCATGGGTGAAGATGTGATCAATACACCCTCTTCCTGGTCTACAGCCTGACTGGTTCCTTCGTGTTTGTTCCTCCCGTGAACCGCTTAGTCTACGCATTATTATTGAGCCTAGAACTTTAGACACCATATTAGTCTAGCTGATACCCCTGTGGTTATCGCAGGAAGACTTGTCTCCCCTCTACAGATACATGTCGTTGAATTTCGAACAGACTAAATTTACACTTCATCATTATGTCCACATAAAGAGTAGAGTTTTGCCTGAGGATAGTATTAAGTAAAAAAAAGAAACTTTAAGTAAGCTGCCATGACCCGAGTTCTAACTACTTTATTATGTTCTATTTGCGAAAACTGTCTATGTCAGATGACATATATCTGATTGACTTCAACGCTCAACACTATGGGATCCTGGTTTGGATCCCGCTTCACCAACTTCAGCCTCATGGTGCACACAGTATCACTATGAAAAACCTATTCGAAGTAACCGAGGATAATTTGAAGGAAGACTATGCAACTTTTCAATTCAGTGATTTTATTCTAAAATTGATCGAAAACTTTCCAGCCACTTCAATGCATTAAGGAGTACACAAGTGATGACGTTCAAAAATGCAGTCTTATGGAAAAATCTGAGGAAGTTTGACATTTGATTCGTCTCTGTCAACTGCAACGTGATACCATAACAGCAGTGGCTGAGAGTAGATATCAAAAAATGACACGTCTTCGACTGAATTGTAGAAAATAAATGTCGTGAAACTAGTATGAACAAAGATGTAGGGAAGAGGGAATAACTGAGTGAACACTAGTGAACAATTTCATATCTTCAAATGTTGGCAACCACTTTATCCCCACTATCCTTAAATTTCGTCGGAGAACACAAGGATCTTAAATGCTACATAGCTCAAGTTGATCTGCCAGTGATCACAACCACAGAAAAATTTGCTCCTCTCCTAATAAACAATTGCGGTGAGTGCCCCACGTCAGTCTGACAGGCTTGTTTCAATTATTCACATTCACCGGTTGTTAATGCTTCAGTTATCCTAGTCAATAATTCATTATCAGTTACTATGGAATCTTACCACCAGATTTCACTGCTCTGTCCCATTGTAGATTAAAGACAGCTTTCGCAACCGTGGCTACAGTTCGAGAGCCTGGAGTTAAATAGTGAAGCTGTTTTCCCTATCCGACGTTTCATTAGTCTCACTCTCACAGGTTGTTTCCCTTAACATCTCAATCACTGGTTGGTCTCTATTACCGATTTGATGCTTTATTCTTCTCTGATTTCCACGCTCGCCACAATCATACCAGTATCGAACAGCCTACACAAAATTAAGGGGCTGGTTGGATGTGGCATCATGTATCCCAAGTTGAATATTGTTGTCTTCCCTAAATAAGTGCTTAGTTGCCGCCCCCCTTGGAGACTTCTAGGTTGCTACGCACAACTGAAACGATTGCCATTTTGGAGAATAAAACCGAATCTTTGCATCCAGAAGGAAACCGTTTTCAGCCTTGCCTTACCAAGATGAATATACCTTACGTAAAGTTGGTTACTTTAGTTATATTTTGTCTCGATAATCTAATTTCCTACCGTTAATTTTGTCTTCAGTAGTAGCATTGGTGACCGAACTCTTTTTTGACCCCCGTTCGACTAGACTATTTGTTCTTTACATTTGTTGTCGGTTTTACGCTTTTCAATTTAGAATACTAGTTTTCAGTTAAAGAATATCCCTTATTATTCCTATACATTTGATTTTGTGTACGTAGTGAAGTTTCTGGCATAATCTTACTTTGCCCTTAGTGGCTTTTGTATGCTGAAACTATTGGATTAATGATTCCAAAGCCTGAGGGATGAGCTATCAGAAATCTGTTGTTCGTTCTTATTGCCATTACGCGATTTCTAACTACTCCTTTGAAAACACAACCCAATAACTTAAGCAGTTCAACTTAACTCTATGGATTGCGATTTTTAACCCAGCCCTATTTGTTCAGGCTTGAGAAACTGAATAATATCAAGCACTTCAACTAACGGAGAGGAATCTCACAGCCGGTTAATTGGACTGAGTCAAATCCTAATGAATATAACTATATGTTTAACATTTTTCCCAACGACTTATCTCATGCAAGAATAAGTGAGTGTTGTTTTTCGAAATGATGCAGAATGGTTGCATTGATACTCCATTCGATTGTGAAATCAACGCAGTTGTAACACGAATTCGTGAGATAAATAGTAAACAGAGTAACCGAAATTGATTTTCTCGAATTTGTAATTTTAACACAAAGACATATGAAATGACACTAGCTACACATTTGTTTTATGCTATGGATCATAAGTATTGTACCGTAACCAAACGTGCTATGTTCAGTCGAAGCTCGGAAGATAAATTGAGCACTTTTTGATATTTGAACTAAATCATTCAAAAATTCTAGTCGTAAAGCGATGAAACTGAACTCTACTATAAAAACTAGTACCTTAGTAGTTATTAACTAATTTTTAACCACGTATTTAAATGCACAGATTGTTCTCTGTGAATCCAATCGAGGCAATGGAAAGATGCCACAGACTCTTGGAAAATATTGAACCCGGTGATCTCTTAAGGCCTGGAGACATTTATTCTACAATGATACGTGAACTTGTTTCACAAGAAAAATATAAAGCTGTGAGTTTTTCTTCTTTTAATAAGATACAATTAATTATACGTAAATTATTATGCTTGGTTGGTCGATTTTCGGACAAAAGATATTAACGCTTTATACTTTTGAGTATGTCTAAGTGCTTCAGTAGAGACTCATTACAACAATTTTCACTTCTCGATAATTTCCTCATCTAGCTATACAGTTATTTATACACAAAGGATTTAAACAATGATCGTTATCGTTATCTTTACACGACCCCTTTCACGTCACCACCCTCAGGCTCACAACTCGTCCTTTCCCATTCACAATCCACCTGAATTGACTATAATCACACGACTGATTATTTCAAATAACTTTTTATAGTACAGGTGTGCATACAAATACTTTAATAATAACACAACACTCCAGCTGACTATATTATGTAGTCTTGAAAATAATATTGGAATATGGGGATGCAACAATGTTTGTTTCAGTTACGCGGAAAGTTGTTGGTTTTCATCAACACAATCACAACTGATCAATGATTGGAGACTAAGCAATATGGCTGTAAATGGATCGTTGCATCGCAGATGCGTGCATACTTCGTCTAAATCTTATTTGCAATACTGATATTCTCTTGTGTTTTTTCTGCTATTCTACGACACACTTCAATATCTGACCTTTCTTCTTTGTTATTTGTGCTGGCGGCTTGAACCGCTATGCAGTCAAAATAGGTGCTATGCTGACAGTATTTGTCCGCGTAAACTAATCTGCTGCCACACCTGTTGCTAAGTTAACTGCAAGTATTCAACAATTAGAAAGTATTTAAAAACATAAGCAGGTCTATTACTTAAGAACAAAATTTCATAACAAAATGTAGGCAATATGCTCAGTTAATGGCTACATCACTCAACTACTGCAATGTGTGCATAATGCCAGTTATCTGAAAACTTCTAAAATCAGATAGGCAGTGGTAGTGAAAATTGTACAAGATAATGCAACCCATTATTCCTGAACAGCTTAAAGTGAAACAAACACCAGGGTTGGTGTGTTTTCAGCTCACTTGCATATTTCATTTCGGCAAAATTACGTTGTGTACACATCGTAAGCATCTCATCGTGATGAAGCCCATAGTGTAGATGAGACTACTGAGAATTTGTTGCAAACAAGAGTTCCTTATTGGTCACGGTGATGTCATTTTAACACATAGCTAACTAAATCACGCGAACATCTAAATTTTCTCAAATTAGTTCCTTAGTACTCTTTTATTTCAGCAGGTGTTTACTGCAGATTTGAACCGAAATAATGAAACTAACAGGATCATTTTTGCAGTGAAAGCAGGTTGACTAGCTTTTTAGCTTCGTAAATTGTTAATTACCTCTAAGGGGTACTCTGTGTCCTGTTAAGTCAACAGATATGTTTACAGAAAGACACGTAGATTTCCTTGGGTTATTTATCTAATACATTTCCACGTAGTTACAAACCATCATAAATACAAACTAGTGTGAAAATAAGTCAAAGACAGTTAAGAGGCCGAAAAAGAACTCAGAGAATGAGGGTTATAGATTATTGATATGTTCCAAACTAGAAGATAACGATCTAAAGTTTATTACACTTTAGTCAAATCAGACTACGGATTTAAAAGCTTGACAGAAGCTTACAGAATAAAATAGGATAAGACGCACTACTAATTGATGTGAATGGCATGCAACTACTCGTCTTAATCAGTCAGTAGTATATGCAAGCAACTTTTTCTAACTAACAAGGCTATATTGCAGTCACTAATTACAATACGCCGTAGAATGTCGTTATACTTTCCGATGGATGTTTTGTGCTGAGGCATAACTTGTCTTAACAGAACACCTAAATTATAAAAACAGTTCCAACTCAGTGGTAATTAATACATAGCAAGGAGTCGTGGTGCGGATTCACGGTGCTTAATTCATTTCGAGGTAAGAACAATGAAAACAGTATGATTTTTAGTCAGAACTGTATCTTTACAAAACAAATGTCTGGTATGACTGGTTAACCAACACAACAATAAGCTGTATACACTGAAGGACGAAAATTCCTTGCACATATATGCCTACTTCGAATTGTCAAGTCACGTGAATTAACATTACCATAGGAATAGTCATTCAAAACGGGGAATCATCCAGTGCTGCTCTGAGTGACGTACAAGCATTCACTTTACCGAGTTTACACTACAAGTGACCCGGCAAAGTTAAACTATAGCGATCCATGGAACACGGACTCACGACTGACCTGGAGACGCCCAATCAGGTTTCTACATAAACAGGACGCTTATTTGCAAAAGAAGTACTAAGAATGACAATAAAATACATTCAACAGGATAATTTCCCTGACGTGGATTAAAAATATCACCTTCAGTTATTAAGTTAAACCAGGTTCAGTGCATATATTCGCCGAGGTGACTTGAGGACGAGTCCTTTTTGTGACCCATTTAATCGCTCTCATCCTGTTTTCCAGCCTTCGTCGAAAGCTCTCGATTGAATTAGTATAGATTCCAGTAACAGGATCGACAAAATCATCTACATAACTGACTTGATGATGGATGAAACCCAAATCTGATAGCCGACTACATCCGGCCCATTCGCCTGTATGAATAGTACTGCCAGGAACGACCCACCTTTGTATAATAGGTAGAAAAGTATGGGCACTACGATTGGGAATTACTTCCATAATTCCTCTCACATAATGCATGACATTATAAACAAATATTATTCTATGTTACCTACGCACTGTTTCAAGATTTAGACGGAATTTATCAGTACACATGCTTGTTCATCTCCTTAGTGGTTTAGATTGGATACTTCGTTTTTCAAATTCATATTTACACATAATTCGGAATTTTAATGTTTTTTAGGCGTTGACCTGTTTAGATGAAATGAGAGAGCGAATTGGAAATAATCATACCATAGCTCGTTATTTAGACCGCGGAATTTTGGGGAAAATTTACAAGGCACTCAACCTACCATCAACCGAAAACGATGATGAACAAATTCTTAAGAACGAACAAGAATCCTCAGACTCACCAATATTTGAAGACAACGTCGTCGATGCAAGTATCAGTGATGAAAATGATGATTACTGAATACGCTCGTACCCTGCCTAGCCAAACAACTATTCAACAAACTATAGTAAAATCAAACATATTTTCTCTATGTGTGCATAAAACATGAAAATTACAATTGTACACCTTTTTTTCTTAATAACCGGTTATAAGTTACAATGCTGCGGCTGCTTCTTTTTTCTGACGTTTTCTCTCTGCCTCTTCTTCTCGCTCTTTTTCGATGGCTTGAACATACTTTTGGATATCAGCATACTCCAGCATCTACAAAAAAATATATAATTTGCATAAGTGTTCAGAACAGATGGCAAGTCTCACTCTTTCAATAACAGTAGACAATGAATTTACAGTGTTGATTTAACCTGGACTGTTACCGAAGTCTATCTGATCCTATTAGATAATCTTTCGTACCGATAAAAAGTGAATAATTCCCAGTCCAAAAGTTTAGAAACTGTTCGGCTGATTTCTGTAATAAAGACAATAACTTTAGCCTTACATAAGCCGTAGCGACTAGTAACCAACGTTAGCGAAAGAAAAATGACCTCATAACTACTATATAAATCAGATCAAGAATCTTAGCTTATCATCCCAAGCTTAGTGTCTTATTCCGCTTCAGGTATCGAGCACTCAATTTAAAGAAGAGTACCAGTATCCTATCAGAAATAGTTGTCACTGAGTCATAGAATTAACAGATTGTTAACCATCTAAATAATGGCATTCCGAGTAAAGCTAAAAGGTAAATTGCGAGGATAACTCCGCGTCTAAATCGAAGTACGTGGACGGTTGATGCGTCCAAACTCCCATACCGTAGATAATTCCTTCTTGCTTTGCGTGACCGCGAAGCCTATGGAACAAATGCCTGACGAAAGTCAAACACCACTTTTGAAGTTGGAGTTTCGTCCTTACGCAAGAACATATCCCGATCTACCTTCCGCCGTAGGGTAATATTTACTTTTATTTATTTATTATTCCCTTGCGTTCCCAGTGGAACATAAGGCTTCAAAAACACATCTCCACTTTGTCCTATGTTCTGCCATCCCCTCCAACTGGGTCCACGATTTCCCATAATCTTTCATCTCCTCCTCACACGATCTCCTCCATGTCACCCTAGAATGACTCACTCGTCGCTCCCCACTTGGATTCCTGCATTGCACGCGATGTCATTCGACGGTCTCCTTAATTTATGCCCGATCCATCTCCATTTTCTCCCACATATTTGTTGAACGATCGGCTCTTGGTTTATGCCCACAGTTTCGTGTTACCTATTCTTTCTGACCATTTGATCTTAAGTATGCTGCCAGCGAAGGTAGCTGTTGATGAAAGTCTGCATCTTTTGGAATCGTTTTTCATGACACGCTGGCCAAGTTTTTTACCCGTATAGAAGAACTGACTAACTTAACATTTATGTTGAAAATCCAAATTTTATTGTTTATGCTATGGAGTGAAGAAGATTTCCAAACTGGTTACAGGTTGATGGCGTATCTTGCCTTTCCGATTCTGACTTCGAAATCTTCATCCCTACTGTGTGCTTCCTAGAAAAATGAAGGAAGTAAAATCTGTTAAATCTATCCCATTGATGGTGATTGTTGCTGGTCGTTGTTGATGATGATGATGATGATGGTAGTCTGTTATCTTCATCACCTCCGTCTTCTCTATGTTCACTTGTAGTCCTGTCCTTTCTGCTTCTTCAGCAAGTTTCTTTCTTTTCGCCTGTAAGTCTTCGACTTTGTGTGACATTAGACACATGTCATCTGAGGAATCCAGATCTCCTAGAGTCTTCTTATCAGTCGTCCAGCGTATTCGTGACTCCTCATCCCAACAGTCTGACGCATAATCCAGTCCACCACAATTAAGAATATCATCGGTGATAATAGGCAGGCCATCATGTTTTACTTACTTCTGTTTCCATTTCGATTGTGTTGCTTATTTTCCGTTGTGGATCACCTGATATGTGGCGTCATCATCACATAGTTGTTGAATGAGTTCGATGAAGATTTTGTGCACTGCACGCCATGGTGTTGAAGTAGTTTCCAAATTACTTCTCGATCAATGCTGTCTGTTGAAGGCCTTTTCGAAGTCAATGAAGTTGAGGTAGAGGTTTGACTGCCATTCAATGCTTTGTTCGATAACGATGCGTAGAGTTGTTATTTGATCAGCACATCATTTGCCTCTCCTTAATGCAGCTTGTTCCGAGCTAGCGGAGTCCTGTATTTGGTACATCCCTTATTTTCTACAGGATGATGCGACTTAGTATTTAACTTGGCGTGGACAAGAGCCTGATTCCACACCAGTTCTTGCACAGGCTTAGGTCGCCTTTCTTTGGCAGCTTGATGTGGTAGCTTATTTTCAATCGATAGGCACCTTTCTTTCCTTCCAAACCTTGTGTAATAATGATTCGAGCACATCTGCCGCTGTCTTCGGGTCAGCTTCCACTGCTTCGGGGCGGGGGAATCCCATCTAGCCCCACTGCTCTCCCGACCGGTATTCATCAGCTTGGTCGCATTTAGGATTTTTTCTTCCGTTGGAGGATTGGTGTCCACTAGCAGTTCTGTGCGTGCTGTTGGTGGTATTTCTTGTCGAGTTGCAGGTGATGGTCGATTTAAGAGTCCTTTAAAGTTTTCAGCCGAATGTCTGATTTGTTTCTTCTTCTTCATAATCCTGTTTCCTTGAGCATCCTTTAATGATTGGTGTCTTTACGGATAGAGATCTGGTTATATATAATGTCCTGAGATTTCTTTCGTCTGCGGCTTGTTCTGCTTCAGTTGCCAATATGTCTTATAGTCTTTTGTCTTTCCTAGCACTCTTCGTCACGTATTTCTTTATTCAATGCTTCTACTTCTGTTGTCCATTTTTGCATTGAGTCATCTCTTTCACCATCCTGCTCTCCTCACTTCTATGAGCTTCTAGGTTGGTGTCCGTTTACAGCCATTTCTTGTCGTGTCTCTTCTTTCTTCCTAGAATATTTGTACACGTTTCCTTGAATATTGCCTTCAGAGAGTCCCAATGTTATTCCACGCAGGTTTCCTCAGTGATACCACGTAGTGTGTCGGTATTGAAAGCATCCCTATTAGTTTTGTCCTTCAGTTATTGAATGTTGAACTTGAATTGTGGTCTGTCTCCAGTTGTTCTGAAGGATTTCAGCTTCACCTTGAAGGTTCCTTGAACAAGATGATGGTCTGGGCCCATATCCGCTCCCATTCTCGACAACTAAATATTGATAATAAGGTTTATGCAGGTGATAAGAATAACAAAGATAGTATATGTATATAAGTGTATAAATAAATTGGGTCAAATCTTCAAAGGTGAAGTGGAACGATAATCAGAGTTTAAATAAATATTATAAAAGTACAAAGGAGGTGGAAAATAAGAAAGGGTGGGAGGGTTTTGAATACAGTTCACCTAGGCCAAGGGAGAGACAAAGGTAGAACAAACTTCTTTTGTATGCAAAGACTAGGATTGTTCTCTCGAATTCCCATAGCTTCGGCTAGGTGTAAAAGACGGTTTCTGATTCCATTCGAAAGACTCGATGGAATACGATAGATAACTTTGAAAGCACTATTTTTGTCCACTTGGTGACCGCTATCAATCAAATGAGCCAAAATAGAACTTTGTATGGATTTTATTTGACCTTTTCCGAACCATGAAGGAAGATGCTCATTAATGCGTTTGTTGAGCTGTCTAGTTGTCCAACAGGCTGCGTATCCACTTTCTTCAGCAACATTGAAATGAAGACCATCTGGTTTGTGGTGTGTCTGTCAACCGAAATCCATGTTGCTTTGTGTATATCCTTGTGCTTGTACACGCTGGATCCAGTCACCAGACCATTGAAATTGCAGAAGTTTGAGAATAGTTCTCCGTTCTCATTCATTTCTCCGAGAGCCTCTCGACCCATGATGAGTTCTCTTCTTGTATTATCTGCCCCCAGTTTGACTGACATTTATATTGCCCATAAGGATTTTGACGGCACCATTTGGGATGTTGCCCATTACTGTATGTAGTTGTCTGTAAAAATCTTCCTTCTTGTCTCGCTCCAGGTTGTTTGTGTAGCATCGGATTATTGTGTCCCTTCTTCCTATTGAGTTGAATATTGCTGTCATGATCCTGGACGATATTGGTTCCCAATGCATCAGAGCTTTGGCTGCCGCTGGAAACATCATTATAGCCACTCCCTCAGAATGTTCGTGGTTGTCGTCCGGGTGGCCGGAATAGATTACTGACTCTTCAGTTGATAATTTGGATAATCCACATCCGGTCCATCTGCTTTCGCAGATACCCAGCACTTCTATGCCGTATTTTCGCATTTCGTTGGCTACCTGGGCAGCCTTCACAGACAGCCTCGTACATCGTACGGACATTCCACGTCCCCATTCTTATGCCTGCTTTCATTGAGAGAAGACACTTCGTCTGTGTGGCTTCCCGAAGGCTTTCATCAGCCCGCGTCATCTCGCCTCTTCGATTCGAGCGAAGAATAAGATGTCTTTAAATTTTTTGTATTTTAAATATATTTTTGTGTGTTGAAGTTTCTCTAGCAGTTTGATAGGTTTAGTGATTTAGGGTAGCTAAGCATACGCCCAACCCTCCCTCTATAACCGGGCTTGGGACCGGCTAGAAAACTAGTAAACTAGATGTTAGCGTAGGGTAATTTAGGGCTTAAAAGTTTTCGGCGTTGACCTATTATATTCCGTTCCCCATAGTTGGGATTATTTGTTTTCATCGAGGGAATCCACACAGGATTCTAAGATAAAGTAATGTATTACTACGATTAGCAGTTCTTATATGAGAAAGCTTGATTTCACGCGCGAAAAACAGCCGTGTATCTATTTGTAAGAGCATTAAAAAGGCAGTTACACTAAATAACTCAACTAAAACATTTCGACGGTGACTGAGACATTTGTATGCATTCAGTATACTAGAGATATGTAGACAGTAAATTGTTTGCAGTTAACACCTTGAAAAATTCATTGAATCGGCAAAATATATTCACTATTGTAGACCAGTCTTATCGCTCCCAGGTATTCATATCG